ACGGAGACTTGCCACGGTCTCCAACCCTCCTCCTTTCTCATCCGGGCTTGGGACCGGCCATGGCGGAATTTTTTATACAAAAAACGGACTCTTGCAATCGTTAATTAAATCCTTTCTTCCATACTCCATGATCTATCATTACAAGTAGTGAATGCATTTGTTTCCGAATATTCAGATACTGTAATCGCGAAAGCCGCCCATTTCTGAAGAAGTTAAGCGCATTTGTGAGATATTCTGAAAAATGGCTACACAGATTGTTCAATTGTTTCTTTACTCCCGCATTCCATTCCAGTACCTGGCCATTAGATCAGTACCAATAATCCAATCACCATTCTATATATTTACGGCATATCTGAAGAAATGCACAGGTTTCTAGCAAACCGTGGTCTTCTGTTCTTTTCTCGGTACCTTACTTTAGGTTCTGTGCTTTACAATAGGCTTGATTAATGTTTGCCAATACAGCTGAATGAATGTACTCTATTTATACAAAAAAAGTAAATCTCGATGTTATAGGTTTACTAGTTTACTGCTAGTTATCAGTGCCGCCTCAATGATTTATAATACTTTTTAGTTTTCGGTACCGGACTGAAGCGATGTAAGCACCATCGCCTTGCTTCTAGTCGTCTAGGGTAATATTTAAGCGGGCAGCGGCTTCATGGCCTCCTGCTGGAATCTAAATTTGAAAAGGAGCATGTATCATTGCAGCGGTATCGATAACTAGCCATATGATAGTAAACCCATAAAATCTGGTTTTATTTTTCTATGTAAATATGCCTACGGATCGTGGCGTATTTGCAGGTGTTCGAACAGGATTTTATCTGGCTTTGCCTAGTGATGCGGTTTTTATCTATGCACTGCAAGTACTCAAATGCGATATGAGTCATGGCGTGTTTAAATGGTTCCTTAGGCCATCAGAGGCAAATGGATGGCCCTTACGGTGCGTCAATCTGCTATCAAAAAGTGATGACTATTATTCTCTATTCCGTTAAAATAGCAGTTATGAACGCTTTTGTACTTGGAATGCATAAAATTTTGAAAGTTCTAATAGGCGAACACGTGCGCTCTCGCTCGGGTTTGTTTCTCACGCTGTGGAATATGGTCTTCATCTAGTAAAAGATAATGTTGAATTGGTGGACCAGGAAAATGATAAAGCGAAATTGGCGATCAAGAAATTGCTGTGCTTCTCAGCCAATAAAAACAGGCTGTATGATAATTGCATCTCATCGTTAGACAACCTGGAGTCTACTGTATTCGCTAATTATAGCTACTTGACCGTGTTTATTTAACCTCTCGCCCACTGAACCACAGAATCGTAAATTTGGAGAATTTGTGATTTCATGGCTTCGAATCAGAATGGAGTTCCGAAGTCATAAGCATGATATGTAGTTTTGTTTTGTATTCACTATTAGACTTCCATGTTTTAACCTGTGCAAACATATGAAAGGAGTCTGTTGCAGACTCCATTTGTCTTTTGCCGAAGCTCAGACTCTGGCACAGGATCAGGAACGTTGGAAGCTCTGTCTGACGTGTCTGCCTCCGCGACCCGAAAGGAGAAGCGGCGATGGAAGATGAAGATATTATACTTCATGCAAGCGTCCTTATGTTGCAATCGGATGTTTATTTTATTTCGAAATGTGCCAAGGTTACGGTTGGGTCTGAACAGTTAAAGAATAAATACAGTTGCGTCGTTATACAGTCCATGTAGTAAATACAGTTCTCCACAGTTGCGTCGTTTAAAATGTTGAGACTAATCGTTTTTCATGGAGCACCAACAACGGCGTTCTTTCCTCCTGTGCAGATGTTTGCTCAGAATGGCCTTAAATTCCCTAAGTTCCGTAGAAGTTCAAGAGTATGCGTTACAGTATGTTTCGAGTCGTTATGTCATTTTTATTGTTGTTTCAAGACAAAAATTGTATTATGGGCAGCACGCTCTGAAAAGCCTCTCGAAGATGTAGGTTATAAAGGAAATTTCAGTAATCACCAAGAAGCATCTTTATCGCAGTACAGACGTGCATATATGCTAGAAGCGGTGCTGTCACAGAATGACGTTCAAGACATGAACTAGATTGCCCTCAATAGCGCTACTCACAGTTTATACTCAAGGTGATATGCGGCGAACATTTCAGAAATAAGCTCGTTGCATATCGGTATATTTTTTTAGACCGAACAAAGTAGTTCTGTTTTGCGCTCATAAAATGCAGGTTTGAACATACTATGAAACCGAGGTGCTCAAACGGCCCCCTACGCTATTTGAAGCTAAGCAAGGGTGCGACTGCACCATGCAAATCCGGAAAAGTGATAGGAGACTGCGGTTATCGAAACCTAGCAATGGTTTGCTAGTAATCCAGTAATACTATGGTTAGATTTCTCTCGAGTAACACTGTTTAAGAAGATCCAGTGAGCGGTAAATCACCATGCCATGTAAAGCCAATATCAAAAATGGAAATGCTATGATTACTGGCGAAATTCGAATGCTACTCTGTTACCTACCGTAGAATATCAGAATACCATTTTTTCGTATGATAGTATTTAAAGCGAACAGTTTATTGTCACTAGTCGATCGATGACAGCAAAACTTGACAACAAAAAACTACAAGCGGTACTCCTAACATATTCTCTTATCTCATGGGTTGTACAAAATAGGTAAAAACTTCTGACGGATGATCGGCGCGGTCAACATCCACATTTCGCTGTACGCATCCCCTTGTTCAGGGATTTCACACCATCTGATCACGATTCGGTCGTCCATCGTCACGCTGGCGTCGAACTGGAATGGATTCACCGCAAGGAATATGAGTACCTTCTCGTCCGGCCACAGTACACCGTTCCTCGGCTTCAGGCTGTACCGTCCGCCTGCTTGCGGCTCGAAGGCGCCGTTCTTCCACACTTTAATCGTGAAACTTATCCTGCGAGTACCCATGTTCGTCAGTCGCAGGAGACACGTCTGGTCAGAAATGCATGGCGCATTGAACCACACGTTTTCCGACGGTTCCGAGTTTATGTCTCCCAGTGTTTCCATGTGTCCAGAAGCGCGCACTCAGTTGTGTCACTCAACCGCGAAGTTCTGTTCAGAAACGGTCTCGAAACGCCGCTGTCTTCATTGTCAACGTAAATGTAAAGCTAACTGTAAAACACGGCGTCTGTAAGTTTAAAATTACCAGAATGTAGACTAAATTGTACTTGTGTTAAATGCTTATTCGATTGTAGTTTTCGAAAATTTGATTAAACATCTGCTGTGTAAGATCGACGACGAGCCTTTAACGGCTAGCCTACGATGACCATGATCGGCTGTACAGTGGACACCGGTGGCTTTAAAGTTTTTTCAAGGCAGTTCCTCCTAAGAGACTTAGACACTTAGACAGCCTACCTGAAAAATTACATTGGAAGAACGTGCAATCTGACCTATAAGAAGAAAATATTGAGTCTCAGGCATCAAGAACGCAGTAGCTCCATTGTATCTGATAGTTTATGCTTATTAATGGAGGTAAAATAACGCCCTTCGTGCCAGCTGATCCCAGGCCTTGGAAATCTGACATATTGGACATGCCAGAACTGTACTTTCGTCTAATCACCATCAGTCATAAAAAATATATGCAAATTTTTCTGATGACGGAGTCGAATCGTTCCGCGAGGTACTCTGTGATGTTTCCCATGTCCTTTATCTCTTCAGCGCACCAGCAACCAGATGGGCCTTATTTTTAGAACGCAACGTGTATTGTCAGGTAGCCACTGCAACTTATCGTCTCTATGCATTTCCAATGATCGGATATTTTGCTCTTGATTTAGTAGTCCCAGAAAACGCGTAGTTTCTTCTCCACACAGTATAGGTGATGGTGCATTGCATGAGAGATCTGCTTTGACCTCCGCAGATTCGATTCGATTCCGTCAGTGGGCAATCTTTGCTATATTCACGCGTTGTTTTAAGCTAAGACATTTAGCACACGTTGTTTCAGACCGGGGTTGTTCAGTCGATAGAGCGTCGAAGTGAGAGGTTTTCGGTTTGAGCTCTGGCTGAAGTACTCACCTTCCATCAAATGTTGAATTGATGAGTATCATTCTGTGGAAGGAAACATGATACTAAACTGTGCTTGCCATATAGTTGCTGTCGATCATGTCTTTAAAATGAGGCCCTCCTGACTGATAGCACGGAAACGGACATCAGAACTGCGCCATCAACTTCATAAAGGAAATGAGAGCGCCGGAATGCCCCCATAAAAAAGTGTAAGTAAAACTGACATTCCACGGTTACAACGACTCAGCAGTTGTGGTTATCGACAAACTGAGGACAATTGAGACTATGGTGAAACCTATCACATTCAAATGTATCTGTCGAGATTAATGGTATTGCTGTATTACAGGAGTTGCTATATTGTAAAAGAGAAGTGGCATAGGATTATGTTACGTCTGGCATCTGAGGTGTAGTTAACTTCAAGGATTTATTCACCTTTGTTTAAATATATCCACCATAACATACAAAAGGTTGAAACATATTGTTGTACTGTAAGGGTAAACGTATAGGCGAACAGTCTTCAAGAAAACTAGACCCTTCACTGTCGAAGGCGAAAGAGCAAACAGGAATAAGAAGTAGATTTAGTAGGATAAATAACCAGCATGTGACTCAGTAATTCAGACAAACAACCTGTCAGGTGTTCTACTCTTCCTGAGGATCATCGATTTTGAGGAAGCTTTCAACTTATGCGGTTTTCAGACGATATTTAAATCATCTCAAGGTTATCAGAAGAACTCTAAGAAAGAATCCGAAAGCCAAACAACATCGGTAACAATACAGGACTGAAAAAGTTCCTGAAGAAGGTTCAGGCCATTTTTAAAATGCGTGATTCTGAGACCTATAGAAGTCAATGAACTTAGGTTTGAAGAATTGCAAAACTACGTCTCTCTGTAGCAGCTCATGTCTGCAACGGAGAAGAGGCTGCTTGAAATCAACAGCAGAACAAAAATGACATCGGTCACTTTCGATTACCGAAAATGTTTCTAAACGGGAAACTGCCCTTTGTGCTTGAAGCGCAAAGATTTCGATCACTGTGTGTTCCCACAGCTAGCCTATAAATGCGGAACATGGACTCTGAGTCTAGCCTATTCATAAACTACACATTGCGCAAATCAGTATGGAAACTGCTTGTTGGGAATAAGAAGAAAAGACATGAAGCGGAATGAATTGGTCAGAGCACAAACAAGAGTTACTGCGAGAGTTAAGAAGTTCAGATGGCAATGGGCAAGTCACGTTGCAAGAAGAAACGACCTTCTCTGGACCAAGGGGATAGATTAATTTCCAAACAAGAGTAGCCTGTCCTCTTGGAGAAGTCAGATCGAATGCAGGGTGGATTGAGAAAATTCGATATATCGAGATGATGAAAATGAAATAAAACTGAACTCTGTAACTAGTTCTTTTGAGAGGCCATCTTCCAGTAGTGGATCAAGAAGAGTTGGTTATTATGACGTTGAAGAGCGAATCAAACTCAGTGAAGGATATTTTGATTTTGGACCCTAAAAGAAGACTGGAACCACCTCGCTGGTTCGAGCTCAGGATACGGAATGATGCTTGAATGGGATTTTGCCAAAGCTGTTTACGCTGCGCTGCTTGAGTGTTCTTCCTGACTCAAGATCGATATGCATCTGCATCAGCTACGCCTGAAGCGTATCGACATTGATGAGTTACTCCGCTATGTACTGTACAAGGCGCCGGAGACTGCTGTAAATATGTACGACCTGATACGGTCAACCATTGCGCATTGCAGGTTTTCCAAACGAGCGGAACCGGACTGCGCGTTGTGCTCGATTGGAGTGATAGTAACGTTTGGAGTGTAAGACGCGTGCCGTTGGTTCGCACAGAAAACAGTGCTGGCCATTTTCAGGCCTGTTGGCCAGAGGACTTCCGACTTCCTGGCAGCACGTATAGTGTGGGGTCATCGAGTTCAGCCGCTTCGTAGAACCAGTTTCCTCGGGTCATTTTTGACGCTGACCCCTGACAGCTGGTCAGCTGGGCCTCTTGACGAACCTCCCCCGTCTGCGGATGTCCTTCTTTGGGTCGCGCCCGAATCAACACCCGTCAAGTTATCTACCTCGCATGATCGACACACACAAAGTCGATAGAGACGAAACGATGCCCGGCGAGCGAACACAAAAATAGACGAAATTGTCGACCGGGCGTCTGCGCATGTTCTCGAGGAGTAGTCGGTGCAGGCGTGGTTTTTATCGTTACTCGCTTGACTCGCCACTGCTAATATTCTCGAAACCCGCCTATGCCGACAGAGGCGACGTACTGAACTCAGGAAGCCATGGACTCTCCGAGCTTAGGTAAGAAATTTGTTCGATTACGTCGTGTCTGATCAGTTTTGATCGTTGGCGTCAAGCGCGACAACGCTGGCGCCGGTTTTTTTTGATTTCATCTGCTTCTCATTTACTTTACACTCACTTTACACTAACGACAGATATTATCCTATGCTCAAAGGAATGTGAAGGCTAAGTAAAAGGCCTGCAACTTTATTTCACTGGAGTTTCCACGTTTTCGGTATACCGAAGTGGAGTGAAAGATACTATTTCCTCAGCATTTCTTCACCCGTTTTCTGGTTCTTGCATCGTTGTACCAGGTTCGATGCCGTTGTCACTTATTCGGCGAGCAAAAGCTGCCGTGAAATGATTTCGCCATGCTTTAGCTTGTAGTTTTTTTGTCAGAGCAGTGTTTTTCTTTAAGACAGAATTATCTCATGGCATAAATATTAACATTTCTTTCGAGGAGGACCGCTTTATGACTCGTGGCATGCTCGACCTCATAGTTCATAAATTTTCCCTCCGCCACACTCCATCTTCATTACAACTGTTCCGCTTGACGAGCGTTACAGGGTTGATGGCACGTAAGTAGTTTTCGTGGTGTCTTTCGGACAGGCAGCTGTTCGACAGTCCAATCAGGTGTTTACTCGTATGCACTGCCGCCGATTTTTGTCCGGGCTTCACTGGCCCAAAGGAGCACTTGTGAGATTTTGATGACGAACCGATGTCATTGGCGAATGACGGAGAACAACGCTATCGTTTAAGCCTATCAGAGCAGAAGTTTAAACTAGATCCACTTTATATGTTGGTTAAATTTTCAAAATCAAGTTAAATAATCAACATCGATGTTTGAATTGGCTGTTAAGATAAGAATACCAAAGGATAAGGATATATCCATTGGTGCTTTAAATAAAATGTTTGCTAGACCTAATAAATTAATGCGGTTTTGCATCCTTGTACTGGAGGCGTTATAAATTCGTAAGGTCGCGACTACTTAATTATTCCTCTTGTTCACAGAAAGTAACGGGGTTGCGTGAGTCGTCATATGTAGCCGCGGAATTGACATGAACATTTTATTTCTTGCATATTCTTTTTATATGATGACCACATTTCACATTTAGATGATCTTCGCGGCTTGTACTTTTGCTAAATTCTCTGTTTAGTTAAGGCGCTTCAGAACACCAATATGACCCTGTTTTTTCTTTGCTTCATTGGCTCTTCAAAATTTATTATTTCGTGTGGTCTCGTCAGTGAACTTGTATAATTCATGGTCATGTGACAAAATGTTTTGAGTCTCAGTCCAAACCCCTCCATTTCTATGTCACCATCAGCAACTTTCATGTTTTGCCTTTGAGTTTCGCTTAAATATTTCTGGATAAACGACCATTAATTAATTCCAATATGTTCAGCGGGACGGTCAGTTTTAACGGTTAATCGATTCGTGAAACTTATATGCTCTTCACTTCTTGCAATGTCTTTTTTATACCCTTATGTTACAGCTTTCTTGTTGCAGTAATTAATGACTTAGCCAACATTTGTAATATTTGCCCCGTGATTGCTCTGTACACTGGTTAATAATTTGTTAGGCGTAATTTCGTTTCGGATGCCATCTCACAATAATCCTTATTATAATACTCCGTCCCTTGTGCCACAGCGTTTCTCTTGTAAGGACAAATGACTTAGCCATTAACATTTTCAGTAGCTTCCAGCCTCATTATTCTGTAAGCTGGTTAGTCTCTTGTAAGACATGACTGAGCTGAAGACACCTGTTGCAACAGTTGTACCATTGTTATAAGGAGAGTGCTTCTCTTGATTATGTCGACCTCTAAGATATTCTTGCATTCTTTTAGGCTTACTTATCGCCCTCGCTTCCCTAGATTCATCGTATTTAATCATTTTAAAGAAACA